TGCTCATCTCAGCGACGTGAACATCATTGTCGGCGACGATACGTGGGTGCTTTTCTTATTTATTTTTCGCCTTGCCTCCTTCTTTTTTCTCATTATATGGTCGTGTCAGTCACACGGTGGAATGAGAGTCGTATTCTAATTTTTCTTTTCGAGAAAGTATTCGCTGATTTAAAAGTTCTCATGGTCCCCACTCAAAGGCATGGTCCGAGATAGGCAACCTCCTCTACTCGATCCCGATCATGGTAGACTGGCGGGCAAGAAAGGAGTGCCGGTTTCGCGACATCAAAAGTGCACAACAAAGGCGCTAGGAGCTTTCTCAACTCGCACTGCACGCCCCGTCCGCAAACCCCGCTGTACACTGTGGGCCGCAACGCTGGCGCCGCTAGTAAAAAGGTTCTAATTATGCTCATTCCATGTATTTCAGGTGAAAAAATTGTGAAAAACGGTCGGAAACTATCCCTTTCCCAACCTATTCACTACATCATGGCTCTATAACTTTCACCACCCCAAATATCTGAAAAAATCAGAAGTGTGAACCGTCCTTCACACAATCAAAATTACAAAAACCTCACGGTCTCTCCCCCCCCCACCACCAAAAATTCGCGAATACGACCTCAGCGGACCTTGGCTCAATGTACAGTTGATCCTGGTCCCTTTCTTCGGTATTCCAGGCCAAGCAAGGCAATTCTACAGCCATGGTCCTCACGAGAGGGGGTTTTAAGAAAGGCCGAGAGCGGGGTCGGCTTATCTTGCTTCAAATCAGACTGGAATCCTTGACTTCATCCTAGTCCACCCCCTCCACCCTCACCCCCACAACCAATCGTTCAGGCGCTACCGTCGTTAACTCGGTTTTGTTTTCTGTAGAAAAATCACTTTCTAAGTTTCCTCCACATCAAGCCTCATTTTCAGTGTCGGTAGTTCTTCTTTGCTTTCTTCCACTTTGCTACCAAACAGTTCCAGCTCCTTAAAGTTACCTTCGAAGTCACAGCAAAACGATATGGTTACATTCGAGCACTGTAATTTACAACTTCCTTGATGCCCTTGAAAAAGCACTTCCAAAATGGGAGCGAGTCAAAAAAAGCACGACAACGATTATTATCGCTAATGCTGTCAAGGCAAGAAGATACAAGGGCAGCCTCGTCAAAACGCAGGCGCTCATGACTGTGTCCAGCAGTCACTGCCTACACAGCGACGTGCAGGCAAAAATTCGACCCGGCGTTCAGCGGCTTCCTTGTGCCGCTTCCCATATCTCACAAAAACTCAGGGCTACACCGCTTCTGAGCTTGCGGGGTGTAGCGTGCTTCTTCTGCTTCTTTTGTGTTCCTGTGATATCCACGCTATCAAGCGTACAAGCTGTTCATTCCCGCTACCGAACGTCTCTTCTTTCCTTGCTGACCACACGCCCCAAACCTGATTGTGTTGTGGATGCTGGGAGAACGATCCTGTTTGTGGTCTACTCAAATTGCTCTAATAAGTCAAATGGACAGGAACAGGACACATTTCCAGAACCAAATGACTGTTCTGCAGATCTTAGCGACGATGATGTCCTTGCTGTTTGGACAGCGTTCTGGCACACCTTAAGGAAGGTGCGGAAGTATGACTGGATAAGCAAACATAAGGAAAGGGGAAATAGACAGCAAAGCGCTCTGAAAGGGGCTGCAAAAAAGGCAGAGCGAATAAGCCGATTCACTTACCAATCCTCGCTTTTCTTGGAGCTCGGGTAACAGCCGCGCGGTAAATTTCAGAGCACAATCAGAGCGCCATGCCTGTGTCGGATCCGGAGCGCAAACAGGTAAGATCCTTGATAGAGGAAGAATGAGGGGGGGGGACTCGGGTCGATCCGATCCATTTTGCACTATTTGAAAAGAAGGCGGTTCTACGTAAGTTGCCGATTTTTGGTAGAGTTCGCTATTCTGGATTGACCTGACTCAGCAAAATCTTAAGGTTAGGAAAGCAATTAACCGGGAATGCGATTTTGCGGTGGAATTGAAGGGCTTAGATTGGCCGGCAAAAGGGGGTCGAAGAACCAATCACTAAAAGCAGAAGGGTTCTTGACGATTTTTGTCGATTCTTGAAGAAAGGTGTAGAACATAAACAAGGGAAGGGAGTATTGAGGTTAGCCTGCTGATCTGTCTGGCCCGTAAAATGTTTGAAAATGAAAAGAGACGGACGTTCCTCCTTGCGGAATAGCGCAAGACCCTTTCCGCAACAGCACATTTCCATGCGTCGCATTCCGAATAGCTATGAAGGTAGCTGGAAAGTTTTATTTTTATGAGTCAACCATAGTGCCCGTACATATTATTAAACCATAGCCACGGCAACGTCAAGCAGACACATTTCTTTTTGCCCCAGAAACAGCGATAGGACTTTATTGTAGACTCTTTGCATTGCATTGCAGCTCTATCCACACTAACTGCGGCCTGACTGGGGAGAATTTCTTCTCCTTTGTGAGGTGGGGGGGGGGCATCTCACTGATGAAATTTCCGTACAGGAAGTGTCAACGATTCACGAATGGGCACAAATTTCTTCGGTATGAACCACGACGGCTCAGTGAATGCCAATGCATCATTTAAGCTTACAGGAAGGACCAGCCCCCAAGTTTTTCTCTACACCTTCTCGACTCGGTCCCAAGTTGCTTCTGTTAAAGAATCCTCAGTTGAAAAATCGATAACAAACTCCACGACGTAACAGTTCATGCACTTTTATGCAAAGTGCACGAGAACAGCTATGCAAACAGACGGGGAAGGAGTAAAAGAACTGGGTCTCGTTTCTCGTAAGAAATGACAAGTTGTGGAATTGACACCATGACGAAGTACTAACGACGAAAAACTCTCTCAAAGTGCATTTTTGATGTGTAGATAGTGTGAAACCATCAAACTTCGACGTTCTCACGTGACTCGTGCAAGATATTTTTCACGAAAAGGAAGGGAATGTTGCGAACGTAAAAATTCAACAGTGAAGAAGTCTGGGACGGTAAATATGGTCTACGAGAGTGACACCAGGTCGAGAAACTCAAACTCCCCACCTTCACCGGCGCAAAGGGTGTGTGCCGCTTCCAAACACGAAACTAAACGTGCTGTGCACCTCTAGTCCTGTTTTGGTAATAGAAAAGTAGGAGTTGGAATTCCTCAACAAAACACCTTAAAGCGAACAGAGGAAGACTAGAAATCTTTTGCAAGACGAAGCGTCTGATAATTCTGTTGATAATCCATGGGGCTCCAAACGAATGATGTACAACGCGGTCAAAATGGTTCAACCTGA